AAAAATATCAATTACACTAAAAAACCAATTTAGGACCGTGAAAATTTATTGATTTATCCAGTTTCTACTGTACTATTAGTAAGTACAATTATTTACCTTTATCAAAAAAAGTACAATTATTTACAGGGCTGTTTTATTATGTTTTTGCTATGAAAAAAAAAGTCATTTATTATTGTGTGTTACATTAATAGGATAGTGATATCATGATATTTATAGCTCAAGTCTAATATCACACTCGGATACCTTTGATTCATAAAAAAATCCAATAATAACATATTAGTTTAAATAAGCAAATTACTTATACTAATGGACTGTGAAAATGTTATATGATGTATAAACTGAACATTTTAATTGGATTTTGTATGATGTTTACTTTTTATCAAAAATATTCGAATGCATATAATAATAATTTAAATTTGTGGTGGGATCTCGACCACGTCTTTTTTTTTTCTTCTTTGTAAATAAATACTCATTCCACTTTTACCTCTATGTATATATATATTTTTTTATTCGGAATGCAGTGCAACGGGGTTGGCTACATTTTGGTCGTTTTCTGTATTGATTTTTATTAATTATTAATTTATTGCTATGTGGACTCCAATTATTTTGAGAGTTTTAATATGTGAAAATGTTATGTCATTCTCACTATTCACCAAACGACATCTTCGTTTTCATATGTGAAATGATCATATACACACAAAAAATCGAAATATTCAGCAACATGAAAAGAAAAATCTCTTTCAGAAACAATAATGTTGGAAAAAAGAGAGCTCGCATTATTGAAACACGAAATTAAAAGGTTTTTTTTTTTTAAATGAAATGATATGCACAGATTTATACAAAACAAAGAGACAAAAGATGATGGAGACTTGACGTAGAAACAAGTGGGGGCGAAGAAATTGACCTTCTCGTGAGCCACATTTGGATAATGTTGCCTTTAATCTCTTTTTCTTCCCATCTCATTCAATCTACATGTGTTGATTAATTACTTTTGGGATAGGAATAGAATTCTATGAAAAAAAGATTGACTTGAATCAGATCCAAGATTATAACTGTAGATACTGTAAAGTAATTACATCTCTAAAAGATAACTCATCATGTGTGTTGGTGAATGTTGAGAGTAAAAAAAAAAGGGATTGTGAAACTTTATAACTTTCATTGTCTTGTTCTTCAAGATTAATTTACTATAGAGAAATTTTTAAAAATTCAAATACCATTTTTCAAAAATATCATATTTTCAAAAATTTTGTAAAAATGCCACTTTTTCAAAAAAAAAATTTATTATATCATTTATGTTTGGATTAACTATGTTGTATTAGAATTTAGTTTTGAGGGTTTAAAAGGTTTTAGGGGTCAACATTTTGTAAAGTTTATAATTTTAAGATTTAGACTTTAAAAATCCATAATTAGTGGTATTTTTGCAAATGAACATTTCTAAATGGTATTTTTACAAATATACACATCAAAAGTGTTATTTTTGCAAGTTAATTGCCCCAAGATTATAATTCTTTTTTATAAGTTAATCGTACGAATTAATTTGGTTGATTTACATATTCACAAAAGGAAGAAAAAGTCAGAACATGAGAAAATAAAAGAGAACAAGGCAACCAATTTTGACAATTTTTATTTTTTTTTAAAATGGTTCACAATAGCTGTGAAAGAAAAAAAACAAATCACGTGTAGGGCTTCGTAATAATTGAAGTCTTTACGCACCAACGTTTATAAAAAATTCCACGACTAATAGATTAACAAGAGATAATCCACAATTTGGTGGGAGTATAAACATAACTATCGGACTTAAACGTTTAATTTGGAGGGTAAAAAAATATTATAAATGATCGTAGAAAAATCATATATACAAAAGTTTTAAAAAAATCATGTATAGATTGTAGAAGAGTATACCGTTGAAATTTTTTCATTGACAACATGCAGCATCATAATTCTTCTGCCTGCATGTAACGTTTTTAAAAATGTTTTAATCAGTTTGGATAATGTAATTTGGATCTACTGATTTATCTACATAAAAGAAGTCTATCAAGTTATACCTGAGAAGTAGAGCAAATTGTTTTGACCCGTAAACATGATAGGAAACCAAACATGATCTTTTTTCTTACGACACATTGATGCAATAATGATGAGAATTATGCATGTACAAAAAGTTTAGTGCAAATGCAATTGAGTTGCCTGTCAAATCAAATTAAATTGATGCATAATTTTGAGGGACATAATTTGTAACACTTTTGGCATTTAGGTCTCTTCTATCATTTTCTTAAATGACATTTCACAGAAATGTATAAACCGTCGTACGTGTGTTTTTGGAAATTCTAACGTTATAATGGAAACCTTACAGATTTTTTAGTTCTTGTATACCGTTTTAATTTAATTTCTCAAAATTATTTAACCAAGAGTGGAATCATATATAGTCGACAGAAACATGTATATA